CATTATCTGTATCAAGAATAGCATGGCCAGCAGGAGTAGGGAAGTCATCGTGCCTCTGTACTCGGATTGCCACCTGGGCACACTGCTGGCTCATGTTCAGCCGACGAAATCACAGAATGGTTTCTGTTGGAAGGGACCTTAAAGATCATCCAGTTCCACCTCCCCTATCATGGGCAGGGACACCTCCCACCAGACCAGGATGACCAAAGCCCCGTCCAACCTGGCCTTGAACCCCTCCAGGGATGGGGCAGCCACAGCTTCTCTTAGAGCTGAGAAGCACGGGTCACTGAAGTATATTAACTGTTCAGCATAAAATTTACATCAATAACAATCTCAATTGTCACCACCTCAGCTCACCTGCTGTCAGATTTCTAAAAAGCATTCTCAGGAATTTTTCAGGAAAAGGTGCTCTCGGGTTTGCTCCGTACCAGGCCAGAACGTTTTATTGTTCCAGGAAGAGCCTGGCAACGCAGGAACCTTCAGAAATACTCTTCAGAGTACAGAAGGTTCAAGCAGAGAAATATAATTTAAAAGTGAATTTATTTCTCTGAACTGGCATGAAGGGAAAAATGTTACTGGTGAACCGCCGTATCTACAATCCTCAGGTGAGCATTACCGAAGGTTTTGTTTATTTTAAGTGTGGCAGGAACAGCTTTAATTTCCTTATAAAGATTCTGCAGCACAAAGTAACATCTCCTTTGGGAAGCGAAGGCAGAAAGGACTCAAAATTTTGGCGTCTTTGCTGAGATGGGTGGAATGAGTCAGTGCTTCAGAGTGACAGCATTAATATGCACGGCCACTTTGTCTCATCAATAAAAAGCCAAAGAGCTTAAATGACTAAAGGCAGAAACAGCTTTCATTATGAATACACATAAGTTTTAAATTCTCTGGTAGTTCCGCAGTCCTGGAAAAGGCTACTTTTAAATATAATTATGGGGGGAAAAAAATATACATAAGTACATTGTGCACTTGAAGCAAGACCATATGCATAGTTTATGCTGATCAAATGTTTTCTATTATCATCTCCATCTCTCCCAGCCCGAGGGACACTTGCCCAGCACTTTCCTGAACGATACAGAGTGTAACGAGGAGCCGGGTAAGAACATCTTTTGGTACTTTGGGCACAAAGAGCAAGAAAAGATTTGCAGAAATGAGAATTTATTTTTTTTTTAAGGCAGATTCTCAACTGATCTATACGGATTTACTGGTGTTGAGGATGAAGCCATCAGAGCTTTTGGTTTCAGGCATTTGATATACTGTGGGGAGGTTAGTTTTTTTTTATTATTTTATTTTTTTTTATGTGGTTGGACTCGATGATCTTGGAGATCCCTTCCAACCACTAAGATTCTGTGATTAAATAGGGGTCCCACACCCTAATCTAAGTAAAAGACGGTGGAAAAGACTCTTGGCTTCATTCCTGGCAAAAAAAAAAATGGAATCCAACTAAATATCTTGCACTTTGCTCCTACCTTATATCAGAGACATCCTCCACATGCTGCTTTACCTTTCTATCTTAATGCACATCACTCGGGCTTTGTATAAGATCTCTCAGGAAAGTTTATGAACCTCCCTGTCAGATGGATAGCCCAGGCTTGCTTTCAATTCATTTTGGAAAGTTTTATCAAAATCTGGAATTTAGATTTGGTTCCCTCCGCAGCAAGATAAGCAGATTTGTTAAGTTGGAGCTAAGGTTGGTTAATTTTGGTTCTGCTGCTCAGAATACTTCCACAACCAACAACTGTGAGTCTATGTGTAATACAAAGTCAGAATCATAGAATCATAGAATTGACTGGGTTGGAAGGGACCTTTTAGACTTGGTTCTGCTGCTCAGAATACTTCCACAACCAACAACTGTGAGTCTATGTGTAATACAAAGTCAGAATCATAGAATCATAGAATTGACTGGGTTGGAAGGGACCTTTTAGACCATCAAGTCCAACCCAGCACTGCCCAAACCCCCACTGACCCATGTCCCTCAGCACCATGTCTGCCCAGCTTTTAAATCCCTCCAGGAGTGACAACTCCACCACTGACCTGGGCAGAAAAACTTTACAAGCTACAACATTTCTGCATCAGTTTTTAATATTTCCAGTACATTATAGCAAGTTTGGGATTTTTTCCATTCACCAGCAGCGCTTTGAACGCCCACTTCAAAAGCAGCAGTGCTGGGAAATTAAACAACTCTACATTTAGAGAAGCAGAATAAACCATCCTCTTGTCCATTGCTAGAGCAACCCAGCTTCCCTGGTTGTAGTCTCCTACCACATTCATCTCTGCTTCACAGAACTTCTTGTACATCAAAATTAAAAGGCATTTAGAATCATAGAATTGTCCAGGTTGGTAGGGACCTTTCAGATCATCAAGTCCAATGAACAACCTAACTCTGATACAAACCACCACTGGCCCATGTCCCTCAGCACCACGTCTGCCCAGCTTTTAAATCCCTCTAGGGATGGTGACTCAACCACTGCCCTGGGCAGCCTCTTCCAAGGCTTGACAACCCCTTCAGTGAAGACATTTTTCCTGAAATCCATCCTAAACCTCCCCTGGTGCAACTTGAGGCCATTTCCTCTTGCCCCATCACCTGTTCCTTGGGAGAAGAGACCAACCCCCCCTGGCTACACCCCCCAGGAGTGGTGACTCCACCACTTTCCTGGCCAGCCTGTTCCAAGTCTTGACAATCCTTTGGTGTAAAAATTTTTCCTAATATCCAATCTAAACCTCCCCGGTGCAATTTGAGGCCATGATGGACAGGACTGTCATGGATGACCATAGCTGGTTCGGTACAAGAACTGTACACTGAAGATCTCCACAGTAAACTTGAACTGGACTCTGCTCAAGGAAAAGGGCAGTAAATAAAAGGGACCACTAAGGTCAGTGTTCATGGAACCCCAGGTTCTGGAAAAGCAGGATGCCTTGGGACTTCCCTTTACAGATGGAATTGCAGCAGTCCAGCATGAACACTAAAACTGCATTTATCTTTACAAACAAGTTGGCTATTTGTAACTGATTACAGCTAGGAAAAAAACTTCTTGGCCAGCTCTGGATAATAACAAACCTCTTAGCAAACCCAGCAGATGCGATGACGTTTGGCTCTGGAAGTCTTCTTTGAAGACTCTGGAAGTCTTCAAAGGTCATAAAATTCTACTCAGAGCATATTTAAAGTTCGTATTACACTAGCAATTAAAACAAAAAGACAACTAAGGAAGACATGAAAGGTACTGAAAGAAGGTAGGATTTCCCTTTTTCAGTAGACAGAACTTCAGCCATCTCCTGCTGTCTATTCCCCATCGGAAGGTGTGATGGGAGATCCCCATCAGCTCCATAATCTCAGATATTTTTTTTTCTTCTTACTATACAGAGGATTAACATCTTAGGTGGAAAATAACAGCAGACACTATAGGACTAAATCACTGAAAAGGTAGTAGGTTGACATTTATAGTGGTGAGACTCAGATTCAGTTTCCTCAGCTCCCCAAAACCATGTGATCTTTAGCATGAAAATGAACTCAACTGATCATAGGGAAAAAGAACAGGAATTAAGGGTTTTTTTCCCCAGAATTTTCACGTGGTTCTTCTCTTCCAGGTTTCCATGACCAAGCTGCAGTTTCCAGCTCTGAAAGTTTCTATTAGCATGTCACAAGTGACTCCTCACAAAACCTCCACTATGTAGAAATACAGCTTCAGGCCCCGAGAGAGCAGCCAACCCTACAGGAGCAGCACTAAATAACAAACACCCCTACAGGAGGGAAACACAACAATGATCAAACAAAAGACTCTAGTAGGCAAGCAGTACAAGAAAAAGAAAAAAAACACAAGCAGAAAAAAATAAGGACAAAAGAATTAATAAAAAGAGAAGGAAAGATTCTCTGCATTTGAGGAATATTGAAAATAAATTTGTGGAAAAAATGTTGGGGAGAGATGTAGGTCACTTCTTTATTATTAATTTCATTCGTTTGTTAAACAAGGACAACCCTACTTATTAATCTACTGAAACAATACAAGGATTAAATCCCCATCTGTGCAGCACCAATTTCGAAGCCTCATACCAAAGCACAATGAAACCAAGTGTTTTGCTCGATGTCTGTTGTAGTAAGAAGAATACAAAGACCACCCTGAGATCATTCCTGTGTACAGATGGACCTTTAGTCAAAGTTACAAAGTTCCCACAAGGAGAAGTTTTGACCTTTTGATTCCAACACAGCAAAAAAACTTCTGCAACATCTACAAATACCTGCCTGTCTACATCAAATAATCTAGAGGAGACCTGTATGCAAACTGAACTGGCTGCAAATATCTCTTCTGCCTGAGGAAGGACATGGACCTGATAGAGGTGGGCCAGAGGAGGCCATGGAGATACTGGGAGGGCTGGAGCCCCTCTGCTGGGAGGGAGGGCTGAGAGAGTTGGGGGGGTTCAGCCTGGAGAAGAGAAGGCTCCAGGGAGACCTTAGAGCCCCTTCCAGTCCCTCAAGGTGCTCCAGGAAAGGTGGGGAGGGACTCTTGATGAAGGAGGGGAGCCACAGCACAAAGGGGAATGGTTTCAAATTGAAATAGGGGAGATGATTTAGATGAGATCTCAGGAAGAAATTCTGTGCTGTGTGGTGAGAGCCTGACCCAGGTTGCCCAGAGAAGCTGTGGCTGCCCCATCCCTGGAGGGGTTCAAGGCCAGGTTGGATGGGGCTTGGAGCAACCTGGTCTGGTGGGAGGTGTCCCTGCCCAGGGCAGGGGGTTGGAACTCAGTGATCTCTAAGGTCCTTTCCAACCCAAACCATTATAGGATTCTATTAAATTATTGTAAATTGTGGGCCAAGTTCTGCCCCTGGACATACCACTTACTTATTTCATGACACTGCACAAATCACTCCCTAACGTTTTGTCTCAGGACCTCCCATCAGCAGCCACCGATGAAGAAGGGACGAAATGCCTACTACTAGTCCTGGAAAATCTGCTGAAGAACTACAAATTAATTCTGTGAGGAATGCACATGACTTAAATACTCACTGCTGGAGCTCCCTGGAGTACTGAACTGGGAAGTTTCAAGGAACTTTCGGGGTGTAGACAAGTTCGTAACGTCCATGAGAGGTACAGAAGAGGCATCTTTCACAAGTGAACTGTGAGAGGGGAAAGAATTGAAGCAAACAATTTACTATTATTTACAATGTTAGATCACAACAAATAATCCATTTGTTTCTTAAAGTTGTAAGCCTGAGCAATGGATACACTAATACACAGTTCTGATATAAAGCATGTGATTATTTCCCCAAGAGACACATCTCCAGACACAATTAACTACTGCTAGCACGATAAATTAACATGGAATTGTAATGATCTTTCTGGAAAACTACATATTAGAATAGAATCATAGAATTGTCTAGGTTGGAAGGGACCTTAAAGATCATCTAGTCCAACCATCAACCTAACTCTGACAAAAAAATAAATAAGAAATAGGAAATAAAAATTACTAAACCACATTCCTGAGCACCACGTCTACTCATCTTTTGAACACCTCCAGGGATGGGGCCTCAACCACTTCCCTGGGCAGCCTATTCCAACGCTGGAGAACCCTTTCCATGAAGAAATTTCTCCTAATATCCAATCTAAACCTCCCCTGGTGCAACCTCCCCTATTGAGGAGAAGAGATGCCCCCATTTCCAAGGCTTCAGTCAATTCCTTAATCCTTCAAGCTCTTCTAGTTTCCTCTAGAAACCTCCACTGTTTTTCCTCCCCTTTAAATTCCTCTTCTCTGCACACCTACGTGCATCCCTCTCAAACGAATCTTCTTATTCACAAAGGCAAGACTTTCTACTTGGTCATTTTCACAATAAATTCACGTAGTTACTAGCCAAAAATGTGTCACGCTGCCCCAGCTGCGTAATGAAAGGCACGAAGCTGGATGTGGCAGGAGAACACCAGCAAGAAATCATTTTTAAGAGAAAGAAGTGGAGAAGGCTCCTCTAATGGAGCTCAGTTTGTTCCCTTAGAGGTCAAAATCCTTATGGGAGCCTGCAAAGAGAAGGGCTAAGCCTACTATCCTGTGTGAGAACCACCTATAGTCCCTATACACCCACAATACCATGCTTAGAGGGACTAGTTATGCATTCTGTTAAATAAAAAAGCCAATACAAGAAATAGAATCATAGAATCATTGAGGTTGGAAGAGACCCTTGGGATCATCGAGTCCAACCATCTACCCTACTCTACAAAGTCCTCCCCTACACCATGTCCCTCAGTACCCCATCTAAACGTCCCTTAAACACAGCCAGGGATGGTGACTCCACCCCCTCCCTGGGCAGCCTGTTCCAATGCCCTATCACTCTTTCGGTGAAAAATTCCTTCCTAATGTTCAGTCTAAACCTACCCTGTTGGAGCTTGAAGCCGTTCCCTCTCGTTCTGTCACTAATTACCTGTGAGAAGAGACCAGCACCAACCTCTCTACAGTGTCCTTTCAAGTAGTTGTAGAGAGTGATGAGGTCTCCCCTCAGCCTCCTCTTCCTCATACTAAACAGCCCCAGCTCCTTCAGCCGCTCTTCATATGATTTGTCTTCCAGGCCCTTCACTAGTTTCGTTGCCCTCCTCTGCACTCGCTCCAGCACCTCGAGATCTCTCTTGTATTGAGGTGCCCAAAACTGGACACAACACTCGAGGTGTGGCCTCACCAGTGCTGAGTACAGGGGCACAATCACCTCCCTACTTCTGCTGGTCACACTATTTTTGATACAAGCCAGAATGCCATTGGCTTTCTTGGCCACCTGGGCACACGGCCGGCTCATATTCAGCCGCTTGTCAATTAGAACCCCCAAGTCTCTTTAATTCTAAACATTCTTGCCTCCTGGTCAACAGCCAGTCCAGGGCAGCAACTAAAACACAGCACCAAGACTGTCCTTGATGCAAGAGTTCGTGTTATCCAATATCAACAATTTGCAACAGGGAATGGGAAAAAAAGACAGAAAACAAGGAAAAGATAAGGGTCCCTGTAGCAGTCGTACAAAACTACAGTTAATTAGCAGTTGCACAGTCTGGGTACACCAAAGCTTTGTGTCTGTTTTTAATTAACAAGATGAGTAAGGAAGAGACTGATGACTTGCTAGCAGCCCTTCTTCCTAGAAATTTCTACTTCAATCGATCCTTTCTTTCATAAATTCATTTAATGTAACTTACTATCTCTCCTCTTATTTTTGGTAAGCATTTTTTTTAATTCCTTCTCATAATAAAATGCTAATTTATCTTTTCTCTGCATCATTATCATATGCTGGCTCCCCTTTTACTCCCTACCCTGTCCTGCCCTACAGAACTTACTGTCAATAATGTGTCTCTCTTTTCCAGCCACTGTCTTAGTTCCCTCCCTCTCAACAACTCCACTGCCCTCAAACTTAAGAATTTGTAAAATTTAGGAAAAATTAGGCAGGCACCTATACTTAAGCTGAATTTCCACTGATCAGAGGTATCAACCAGGTAAGAAGCAGCTCTGGGGCCCACAACATAAGAAGGACATGGACCTCTTGGAACGGGTCCAGCAGAGGGCCACAAAAATGACCTGAGGGCTGGAGCACCTCTCCTACGAGGACAGGCTGAGAGAGTTGGGGTTCTTCAGCCTGGAAAAGAGAAGGCTCCGGGGAGACTTTATGACAGCCTTCCAGTACCTGAAGGGGGCTACAGGAGAGATGGGGAAGGACTCTAGATCAAGAAGTGGGATGATAGGACAAGGGGTAATGGTTTTAAACTGAAAGAGGGGAGATTTAAATTAGATACTAGAAAGAAATTATTTCCTGTGAGTGGTGAGACCCTGGGCCAGGTTGCTCAAAAAAGCTGCCCCATCCCTGGAGAGGTTCAAGGCCAGGCTGGACCAGGCTTTGAGCAACCTGGTCTGGTGGGAGGTGTCCCTGCCCATGGCAGGGTGGTTGGAACTGGATGGTCTTCAAGGTCCCTTCCAACTTTAACCATTCTGTGATTCTATGAAATTTCAACGTCATTAAAACACAACGGCCAAGCCAAGACACCGCTCAGGCATTTCAATGTTGTGGCCTCTGGCTACTAAACTTGGAAATCTTTTAAACCTTGGACGTTTGCTAGAAAAATGAGTGATTTTTCCCCCTCTTCTTCCCTTTTCCTGACCTGAGCCTCATGATCATGACATTTGTAGGAAAGGTATACACATCAGAGAAGGAAAAGAATGCTAAAAGGAACTGATCTCATCATAATTCTGTGGGAAGCAGCAAAAACCCATCAGAATCCCTAAGCACAAGTGAAAGAATGAGAACAGACTGTTCACAGGCTAAAAGGTACATCAACATCTTTGGAGTTTTTCTGCTCCCCACAGCCATAAGCATGAGAAATTTGCTTGCCAAAAATGAGAGGTTGAGGTGTAAGTGGATGGCACTCTCCCAAGAAAGTTTCTACTTAGGAAAGGGAGAACATCGTCCTCTTCCCTGCAAGACCCGTTGCCCTCAGATGGCATCACACCAAACCCACCTTATTCTCCCCTTCTCCTTGTTGCGTTGTCCCACTCTGTTAGTAGATTTGATGTAAAGATGACGGTGGAGTTCATCTATCAGGACCAAGTGCATGTTCATCTTCTTACTGTGGAGCTCCAGTCTCAGGTCACTCAGTCCCTCCACCTGAAGAAGGGGACCCTCCAAGGAGTCCACCGCTGACACCTGCGAGGAGAACACATGTGACAACTTTTAAAGGTCAAGTCATTCACCTCTTACGACTTTTCTCTTTGCTTAGGATGGGACCTGAACACCATGATCATTCTACCCATAAATCTTTTAAAGCAGAAAATGTTTAAGTAGTATTTATTAATTTCTATTCCTAAAAGAAAATTTAATATATAAAAAGGGTCCAATATCCAAACGACTCGGATTTAATGAGCAGTTTTCAAACATTTTGAGCATATGTATAAAACAAGTTAGTTAAAACACAGTTCATTAAATAAAAATCAAAGCACAGTTTATCACAAAATAAGAGGATTACCCAGTAGAGAAGTGTTAGAAAAAGATACTGACAATGATGTTTGATTGTCTTTATTCTTTTCCTTACAGAAACGCCAACAAAACATTATTCTCAATTGTATAAACAGGGAGAAAATGGCTTACATTTTATTTGCCTAAAGTGATGTCATGACATAGCTGCAAAAGCGTAGAAGGCCTCATCTTCTAGCCTATGGCTGCTATGTCCTGTAACTACACAATTAAATAAACACAGCCATTGTATTCATGAAGCTATTGCTAGTTCAAAGGTACTTCTGAACTCTAATGAGTGTGGGGTTTTTTTATTGTTTGATTATTAAGGCTCAAATTAAGGAAAAGATCTTTGCAGAAGCAACAGAGAGGGATGTAGACATGTAGTAACATAAACAGCCAGAGGTACCACTTCTCTGCTGGTGCACTTCAATAGAGACCAGCTGACGTCCTGTGGGCACTGGAGTGAGGAACCTTATTTCACAGAATGATATGGGGTTGGAAGGGACCTCTGGAGATCATCTAGTCTAACCCCCCGCCAAAGCAGTTCCACCTACAGCAGGTCCCACAGGAACGTGGCCAGACAAGTTTTGAATGTCTCCAGAGAAGGAGACTCCACCACCTCTCTGGGCAGCCTCTTCCAGGGCTCTGCCACCCTCACAGGAAAGAAGTTCCTCCTCATGTTTAGATGGAACTTCCTTTGTTCAAGTTTGTGCCCATTTCCTCTTGTCCTGTCCCTGGGCACCACTGAAAAAAGCCTGGCCCCATCCTCCTGACACCCACCATTTAAGTATTGATAGGCATTGGTAAGTCACCCTCTCAGTCTTCTCTTCTCCAGACTAAAAAGATCCAAGCCCCTCAGCCTTTCCTCAGCAGAGAGATGTTCTAGTCCCCTCATCATCTTTGCAGCCCCAATTTCCATTTACATCCCCCCCAAAAAACAAGGACAAAAGCCACCAGGAATTACTAATCAATTAATAAAAGCAACACTATCAATTTGCACGTCTCCCAGTTTACTTGTTTTTCTAACTATTTAAAAGAGCATTTCCCCAGTTACTAAATAATAATAAAAAAAACCAGCGGCATCCCTCTGGAGTTTGCAAAATCTCAGTGCTGTTGTTTTAAGAAACTAGAAATAGCATATTGTGTTTACATAGAGAGAAGCACAGATTTAAAACTGGGGGGGAGAAAGATCATTCCCTAATAACTGAAGATACTCCTAGTGAAATAAGACATTTGCTTGCACTTCAGGGTTTAAGTTTCTAGGAAACCTGTCAGCTAAGCATTAAAAATGAAAAGCAAAGAGATACAGTAAGCAGAACATCCAAGCTCAGGTCTGGTCCCTTAATACCAGTAAATACTAAATACACTGAGAGAACATTTATCAACACTGTACTGCTTTGCCTCCAAGTCAAGAATGACCCTGAAATAGCTTTGAGGCAAACGGGCTTTTTAAATTACGAGGAGTTTCTAAAAGGGAGTTGCACTTTTTCCTTCCTCCTGAAAAACTTTACCAAGAAAACTATGAAACTATGAACTATGAAACTCTCTTCTCTGCATGGACGGTGAGAGTGGGCGCTTCCTGATGGTCTTTAGGATAGAGCTCAACCTTGAGAATTAACTTGAATCCTGGAATTAATCACATGGGGACTGAACAGGCTCCTTCTGAGCCCACCAAAACTGCAACTTCAACAGCATTTATGGAGTTCTAGCACTCAACACAAAGCACTATTACAGAATCACATGGGGTTGGAAGGGACCTCTGGAGATCATCTAGTCCAACCCTCCGCCAAAGCAGGTCCACCCAGAGCAGGTCCCACAGGAACGTGTCCAGGCGGCTTTGAATGTCTCCAGAGAAGGAGACTCCACCACTCCCCTGGGCAGCCTGTTCCAGGGCTCCGCCACCCTCACAGGAAAGAAATTCCTCTTCATGTTTAGGTGGAACTTCTTACATTCCAGTTTGTGCCCATTTCCTCTTGTCCTGTCACTGGGCACCACTGAAAAAAGACTGGCCCCATCCTCCAGACACCCACCCTTTAAGTATTACAGGCATTGATGAGATTCCCCCCTCAGTCTTCTCTTCTCCAGACTAAAAAGACTCAAGTCCCTCAGCCTCTCCTCAGCAGAGAGATGTCCTCGTCCATTCTCTCTCTCCCCAGTATCTATTTGTGAACAGTTTTTTTAAGTTTGGCCGTAAGATATCGCAAAACCACACCACAGATGAAGCAAAACTTTGCTTCTCCCCCAAAAAGCTGCCATGCCCAGGACATACAAATAGAGAAGACTCAGCAGCCACAGCTTGGAAACCTTTGGCAGAAGTCAAAGTGCTAATTTTTCCTCTTCTTCCTTTGGCAGGTAGAGACGTACCCCAAATTTCCCGATTCTAAAGGTGCTTTAACCCCCTTCACCTCCCTCCAGTCACGGCAGGGGAGTCGCAGGAATTTCATCACTGCCCCGAAAGCTGTCAGCAATTTCAGCAAAGCAAGGACAAGTTTGGGAACAGCATTTGTCAAACTGCGAAGCCGAGAGATGAAAAAACAGGGAGGGAAGAACTGAAAGCAAGCAGGAAAAGGACATTTAAAAGGTTCCAAGACATTCGGGAAGAGCATGATCTAAAACGCAAGCACCAGGAATGTCAAGCTTTCCCCTCAGAATATTTGGTTCTATTCTTATTGTCCCAGTTCCTAAAGAGTTAATGATTCTCAAAACTCATTATTAAGCCCAACAAACAGCTCCTAAATACGTATTTCAAGAAACAAATGGAACAGTCAATCATTTACCGTACATTTAAAAAGAAAAAACACCACCACCAAAACCACCACAAAACCAAAAATAACCATCCCATTGTTATGCACGGATCTTTCTTCTGGAAAAAGCTGATTTTGGGGGTTTTTGATTTTTGGTGCTGTTTGTTGGGTGGGTTTTTGATGGCCTTTCTGACACTTCCTATTTGCCATCAGAAAAGCTGGAAGTTACATCCTTGATAAATGCAACTTCCCCAGGGGCTGAACCCTGCAGGTAAATAACACGGGCAAGTTCCACCATCCCACACACCCAGAGCCTTTTAACCCGAGGAGCCCCGCTCCAGGGAAGTCTCACTGGACCACTCTCTTCCGAGATTTCCCTTCCCAGCACCACCAATTATCAAGACAGAACACAAGGGAAAAGCTTTAATGTTCACAACAGTTTGGGTCTCAAGAGTAACATCAAGCTCAATCCCAGTATCTGGAAGTCAAGGTAAGGTTTTGGTGGTAACAAGTGTAAACAACAGAACACAAGGGAAAAGCTTTAATGTTCAGGACAGTTTGGGTCTCAGGAGTAACGTGAGGCTCAATCCCAGTTCCTGGAAGTCAAGGTAAGGTTTTGGTGGTACCAAGTATAAACATGATGTTAAAAAAAAGAAAGTGAGTATTTTTCCTTTCTGTATTTTTACTTACAGAAAGATGAACTTTGGGAATCAGCAAGGTATAAAGAAGTAGCCTTTGTCAATTAGAACCCCCAGGTCTCTTTCCTCCAGGCAGCTCCAGCCACACTTCCCCCAGCCTGTAGCGCTGCAGGGGGTTGGTGTGGCCCAAATAAAAAAAAGTGAGTATTTTTCCTTTCTGTATTTTTACTTACAGAAAGATGAACTTTGGGAATCAGCAAGGTATAAAGAAGTAGCCCAGATTCGCAGAGGGCCACAAAGATGCTCCGAGGGCTGGAGCCCCTCTGCTGGGAGGACAGGCTGAGAGAGTTGGGGGGGTTCAGCCTGGAGAAGAGAAGGCTCCAGGGAGACCTTGGAGCCCCTTCCAGTCCCTCAGGGGGCTCCAGGAGAGATGGGGAGGGCTCTGGATGAGGGAGGGGAGCCACAGGACGAGGGGGAAGGGTTTGACCCTGAAAGAGGGGAGATGATTTAGATGAAATCTGGGGAAGAACTTGTTTGCTGTGAGGGTGGTGAGAGCCTGGCCCAGGTTGCCCAGAGAAGCTGTGGCTGCCCCGTCCTTGGAGGGGTTCAAGGCCAGGTTGGAGGGGGCTTGGAGCAACCTGCTCTGGTGGGAGGTGTCCCTGCCCAGGGCAGGGGGGTTGGAACTGGATGGTCTTTAAGGTTCCTCCCAACCCAAACCACTCTATGATTGCATGATATTTCAGAATATAAAATACGAGATTAAAACATCTGTCTAAATTGCATGCTGGATAACCCACCACGGAACGGTAGCATAAGCAACTAAAATGATGCAATGATGCCTATAAAGAATGCACAAAATTAAAAATACACTTCAGATACATCTAACAATGGAACTGTTACAAGACAAACCCTGACGAGCTTGTAGTTCACACTCCTGGGAAAGATCAGTCCTTAAAACTTGTTTTCACTGTCATCACAAAGGCTTCGCTCTCCAGAAGCAGGAGATGAAGAGTTACAGAGATGGATGGAGGAGAAGAAGAGGAAGCAGCAAGTGAATCGGAAGAGCAGGATTAATGACAACAGCTCTGCTGACTACTTGGAAACACAAGCAGAAGTAGTTTAAAAATGGTTTTATTTAAGTCCAAGTCTCCATCTGGACCACGTTAACAAGATGCTCAACTATCTGGAGAAGCAGTGAGGTTACAACGGGACTTGGAAAACCACCACGGTGGGTCGGCCCAGAGCACAGCCACGTGCTGCCAAGAAAAATAAGATGAGCACTGACAGCAAGACCAGAAAGAAATAAGTC